AGGAGAGATATATAAAATAATCCAGTATATTCCGCGTAAACTGTATCGATCGTACCATAGAATTTTACGGGTTAGCTACAGATGCCCTTCTCAGGTCTAAGATTTTGTTGTCCGTTTAAATTCTTCATCGAGATTGTTTGACTGCATGTCCATGAAAGCCGATAGACGCTTGTTAATATCCAATATTAGTAAAATCCAACTAGTGGTCTATTATCAATGCTGCGTTCTGATTGGTTGAGCTACTACTAGGCTATATGTTATAGCCCACTAGCACTAGTCGCGAAAAGCGCCGGCTTTGAAAACGAAAACAATGGCGGCTGAATCGCGTTTTGCTAGAGCTTGCTAACTAAAGTTGTTTTGTCTCGATACTTTTGACCGACTAGTTAGATTTTACTAAAACAATTATTCCTCTCGCCCTCATGGCCTCTGAGTCAGTAGCCCATTCGGCCTTCGGCCTCATGGGCTATTGACTCAGATCCCATTCGGGCTCGAGGAATAACTGTTAAATACTTCTCAATCGCTCGCTAAGTAATTTGTGGTAAAATATGCATTGAATGTAGGAGGTATCAAAGAATCTAGCTGCGAGAAACTCGCTACGCGAGTATCGTGACTGAGCTGGCGTATATACCGACATGTAAGCGTCTTTCGCAGCTTCAAACACTGTCGATCCCCAACACTACTGCCGTGAAACAGTGACTACAGTTACAGTAAACTCCTGTCTGAATATACGAACAAGTAGATGAATGCTATTTCATTGGAAACTTGTTGAAAATATTACCAAATGCACTCCGCGCGCAACGGGAGCTTGTGTTACCGTTCATGACGCATGTATTATCGTTCATTTTTTGTTCGTGACACATGTTATTGGAGTTGCTTTTGGATAGCCTTTTGCTCTTTGTTAGTCTTTTCCCTTATTATGGTTAGACCAAGTAAGACTAGTAAATGTCTCGGTCAGTTGTATAGTTTTTAAATCAGCAGACGAGTTTGGCCCTCCGGGCAAACATTGCCCTGGCACCGACTTGGTCGAGGACGACTCAGCACACACCAAGACCGTGGTGGCTGCACTGCCGGACAATGTGGATTGTAATGCCGTTATTATCAAGTCCTTGGTGGACTTCGTTCAAAAATTGACGATGGACGCGTAGTCTCTTCGACAAGAGACTCAAGACTTGCGCAAGTTAGCGACTATTCAGCCTGGAAGGGATCCGCCCCCTTCTTCTTCGCTTGCAAGGAACGCAGCCACAGATGATGTTACCCTGCCGGAGCTGAGAGCCATGACCGCTCTGGCTTCTAAGGTAGACCGTCATGCCGATCAATTTAGTTTACTCCCCTCCGAGGTTAGCGATACCGACGGAGAGGAAGTTCGTTCCCCGACTGCCGGTTTACCGTCATTGTCCACGTCGGGACAACCTTCGGGCAAGTTGAAATCTGGCCGCGGAGCTAAACCTACCAGTTCAGTTTTGTTCCATCAGCTTTGGCCCCAGAGTTTCCTTTGCCTAGCCCGCACTCAACGTGAGGTTCATTATGAAGATCTTACAGTGGCAGAGTTTGTGGCCTCAGTGCCTTCGAGGTGTCGGAGCGACAGAAGCATTTGGTCTCGTTAATGTACTTTGTCTACTTTGCGCAGCAGTTTACTTGGTCGGCGGTTCTCAACTTCCATGACACCGTTCTCCTTGAAATTGAGCGCGGCCTCATTAAGTGGGGCGACTCTTTTATGCACTTGGAGAATCGTACGTTTATGGCCACCCTTTACCTGAAACATCGACTACTAAACCTCCGGTTAAAGTTCATCTAATTCGTCTCGGTTACCCCTTTTATTTTGTTGCGATTATCAACGAGACGCGTTGTGTTTAATTTCACTGTTTCTAACATCTTTGTTTCTAACAACGGCGGGCATTACATATCCGCGTTTTGTAAGGTCTCTGTTAAGACTTAACAAAAGATTTTGGTTACGCCGTAACCTAGCCTGTGTACAGACCCCTCCTTCGCTCAGGAAAAATCGGGGAAAGGGCGTCTGTGATTCACCGTCGCTAATCGTGTATGGAGGCTACGTGATTTTTCTCGGAATGTGTGGAAATGATTTGATTGGCTGTTACTTGTAGATCACTACATCATGAAAATAAGAGAATTTGATTTGCTTTAGGGCTTGTCGTTAAAACATGAGCAGCAAACCAGAAAATCATCACATTCACGGACAACTACACGCTTGTAGCTTTTCAGATCCAGGGATTTCGGAGATAAGAAAAGAAACTGAAATCTTTATTGAAAGGTTCTTTAGCCTTACTAAAAAGCAGGAGCCGATTACTTGGAGCCTCCATATGTGCTGTACCCTTGAGTCAACCCTTTCCGATAAAGAATTATTTTTAGAGCAGGGTTTCCCGCGAAATTAATTGCTTTCGAGGACGTCCGTATATTTCAGTAGTGAGAAAAAAATGGCGACGAAAGAGGGAAATTGGCTAACAAGTTTAAGCCTTGTTCCATCACCGTAGCTCCTGCCTCCGTTCCTTCCCTTACAAACGAGGAAAGCTGGTTTCGAGTTAATATAAATAATATATAATCTGGCTTAAAAATATTGCTATATTTTGTTGCAACGCACGAGGTCGTGTTTGCTGTTGTAGCACTGATCGGATGTTTAAATTTTGCTCGTAATGTTGCTTGCTGGTAAGGTAAGCTTAAACTTTATTTAGAGAGGCTGACACAAAATGGTTATAACACTAGTAAACTAGCGGCCCTCAAAACAAAGAAATAGTAGGAATACAATAATTAAGATACAAATACCTAAAACGACATATTAGTAATAAAAACTACAAAATAACAAGAAAACACGAAAAAACCAGACTGAAACAGAATAATAATGGATGATGAATTATCGAACGTTTTTATTAACTAGAAAATTTATCGTGTAAAAAAGGAGGGAAACTGCCATTTCTGACTTGATTGCCTTCACAGTGTTTATAAATCCCATTTTTTTAAAACATTAACAGAATCAGAAGAGCGTAATTTAAGTGGCAGATAATTCCAGCATATAGCGGCGGTTACAGAGAACGTACGACCTCCTTCTTTGGCTATACCTCTTACGCAGAAAAGTAAATTTAGCACCACGAGTAACTCTTGTGTGCTGACTACTCTTTAGTTCCAGCAGTTCATTCATGTAAGTTGGTTAGAGGCCCATTATCCTCTTATAGGCTAACAAGCATCTTTTTATATCAGACTCGGTGCAATATGGCACACAGCTTAAAGTGTTAAAAAGGTCAACGCTGCTATGGCATTGATGGGCATCAAGGATAACACAAGCACGGCACTTTTGCAGCATAAATACCTTAATCACGCTCTCACTGCCACAGCAACTAGTTCAAGTTGCGCTACAATAAAGCAAAAAAGGCTTAATTGTGAAAAAGTATTCGCTCGGCTCAAGGCAAATACATATCTTAATTCTACTTAGAATTCCAATACGCTTAGTAACTTTTCTTCAAGGGGAATCTATGTGGGCATCAAAACTAAGATTTACAGCGAGTTCAAGACCTAGTAGCTTAATATTTTCAGGCTGTTGTAAAGTGATACTCTCCAGCTATATGTTAAGTTTACGATCCTCGTCACTCAGGTGTTTTCTTAGACGACGTCCATCAATTAGTATTGTTCTTGTCTTGCAACGGTTAAGAGGGAGCTGGTAATTTGTTGCCCATTAGTAAACATTTAGAGACCCCAAGAGCGGTAGTGTTCTCCATATTCTTTACATTTGCATTATCAGAGGACGCCAGAAGGGTGGTATCGTCAGGAAACATGTCGATCCGAATTTGGACTTGCAAGGGTAGATCATGGATGAACATTACAGAAAGCAGGGGACCCAGAATGCAACACTAGAGCGCACCTGCTGTAATAGCTCTACATCACGATGACTCTCCTTTGAACGTAACGAATTTCGTACGATCAGTTACGTAAGACCGGAACCACTGAAGTAAGGTCCTATTAAGTTTGTAGGCCTCAAGCTTGCTAAGTAACAACGTATGATCAACCATATCAAAAGCTTTTTTTCGTCAGTAATAACCAATTCATTAACATGTTCATTGTTCAGATCAAATGGCAGAGTATCTACAATGTATGCAAGGGCAGTCTCGGTGCTATTCTGCTCCCTGAAACCGAACTCGTCACATCATAATGGGGGATCAAATTTAACCAGGAGAGGATACAGGACCTCTCTTGGTCTGATTCATATGTTTTACTTTTGGCGAGAAGCATTGTAAGTTAATCTTCATTCGAAAAATTACTACAATAAAAGAAGACTTAAAAATGGGAGTTTCGTAATAATCCCACAAATATTTAATAACCAGAACTTAACATGTTATTGAAAAATATCCACAGTAATGTATAACTAACATAAATAGAAAATACAAGCAAAAGCAATACCTGTAGGATATATTGATTTTAGGAACCGCACACTTTTCGCTCGGTCTCAACTTCGAATTAAAATAAAAGGGGAAGCTTCTTATATAAGGATAAGTATTCGCGTCTTCTTTTGCTTGGGCAGAAAAAAGTGAATTGGGCGTCGTCGGAAACCGCATCCGGTATGACTCAAATACGTGATCTCTTCGTCGCACTGATTAGAATAAAACCTAGTGTGGTAGGGCCAGGTGAAACGTCAAACTTCACATGTCAAGTTTGTCCCTGGTCTTATTGTTGTTACCGATTACATGACAAGAAGAGCTACATGTATTGGGGTGGCATCAGTGGTTAGTTGCGAGAAGCAGGATTCAAGTTATCGGGGTATGGTTTGATCAAGGGGAACGAAATAGCTCGAGACGGAGTTAGCGGGAAATTCGACTTGAACAATGTCTGAAAAGTGGGGTTAAATCTAAATAGGACTTAGCTCGAGTTACCTGAGTTCGCGTCACTGGGTTTATACTGGAGTGTGTAGACTCTTAGGCATGAGAATTATGGCTTCTGTTATGTAAAGAAATTAACTTGTTATTTGTTTGTTTTTGAAGGAGCCACAAAGCTCTAGGATGGCATCGAATTCAGCTGAATATCAAAAGAATGACGGATGTCAGCAATCTTCGGGTAGATTAAGTGTTCTTTTCCTGGCATCTGAATGGGGATCAAGTAAAGGAGGGTTGTCCACCATAAACAGAGAATTAGCTATAAACATAGCAAAGCACCCGAAGGTAAATGTCACTTTCTTTGTTCCACACTGCAATGACGAAGACAAGGAAGCGGCTCGTCTAAAAAACATCAAACTTGTTAAGGCAAGAAGAGTTCCAGGTATCGATGAACTACAATGGCTCAGCACTCCACCAGATGATTTGCACATTGACGTCGTCGTTGGTCATGGAGTAAAGCTTGGTCCTCAAGCAAACATCATAAGAAATTTACGGAAGTGTAAATGGGTTCAAGTTGTCCATACACTACCAGAAGAACTTGGGATGCATAAAACGTATGCTAATCCAATATCAGGGGCTGAAAAGAAGCACCAAACAGAGGTTGAACTTTGCCAATCGGCTAATTTCGTTGTCTCTGTTGGTCCAAAGTTGAATGAGGCCTTTCGTTGTTATCTTTCGTCGTGTCATAAGGGTGAAATGTTCTTTAACTTTACTCCCGGTGTCTTCACAGAGTTTTTTAAAGTTAAACTGGCTTGTGATACGAGAAGATTTCGAGTACTACTTTTTGGTCGTGGAGACGCAGAAGACTTTAAATTGAAAGGGTTTGATATTGCAGCCAAAGCAGTGGCTGCATTAAGTGACGTTTATCTTGTTTTCGTTGGTGCACCGGAAGGAGAGCATGAGAAGATCAAAGAACGTTTTCTCGAATGTGGTATCCATGAGAATAAATTAACCGTAAGGAGCTTTGTGCAAAACCGGGAAAGCTTAAAAAGTCTTTTTTGTGAGGTGGATCTCGCTATCATGCCTTCAAGAACCGAAGGTTTTGGATTAACGGGGCTTGAGGCTCTTTCTGCTGGTCTGCCTGTCCTGGTTAGTGGAAACTCAGGCTTTGGAGAAGCTCTAAGTGAAGTTCCATTTGGATCGTTTTTTGTTGTTCACTCAGAAGATCCCCAGATTTGGGCAGCAGTAATAAAGGGCGTGCAGGAGAAAGACAGGAAAAATAGGCTTAAAGAGTCTGAGGCACTGCGATGTTCGTACGCAAATATGTACAGCTGGGAGGAACAGTGTGAAAAACTTGTCGTTAAGATGATCGGTCTGGTTCAAGGTAAGATTTTTTGTGAGACAGATCAAGTAGTAGTATACTATGTTGTTTTTACGCCCCTTTGGTGCGTTCCGTGTGCGTTCCCTTTATTGATATTCATAAGGGTCGAGTCCATCACGTCACCCATTGTTTTAACCTACAGAAAAAATGAATTCCTCCATACTAATGAGGGTATTCCTCCATCCAATTCGGTACAGGTTTTCTAATGAGCGAATACTGTAATAGGCACGATAGGTTTGCCTCGGCTTGCCCGTTAAGTAACTTGAGCCCTGTTTTCGGACCGTCTAGTAAAAGCAATAAGAAAGCGATCACCCAGCAGCGCGAGAAACGGCTTCCTATATCTTATTTAGCGCTAATACTGAGATATATAAACAAACCACATACACAAAGTAGAGTTGAAAAGTCTTTAATTCAATGTGGGGTCGATGAGGGGCCGATAGGTGGTCGATGTATTTGTGGATGGAAAAATATATAGAGTAAATGAGGATGTGGAGGTGGAGGAGGGGAATAAAAAACATTGAGGAGGGAAAATAAAACAAAAATTGTAGAGGAGGGAATAAAAACAATGAGGAGGGAAAATAATAAAATTGTGGAGGAGGAAATTAAAAAAAATTGAGGAGGGAAATAAAATTGAAAAGGGAGAGGCGTAAGTAAAACATTGTGCGCAGTGTAAAAAAAAAGAGGGATGGCTTGCCTTCTTTGAATAGTTTAATAGGATCTAATCTTTTTGCAATTATTTTAATAAAGGGTCATAAAGTTGATTTCTTGTGTCTTAAGAAACGTGTCTGGTTTTATTACTAGCAATTATTAGTCGCGTGTTTCAATTGATTCTTGTTAAGTTATTAATTGTTTTTTTGTGTGTTTTTATTATAATACGTCAAGATGCTCCCTTTGGGTTTTTACTGCAGAGCTAATTTGTATATATGCAACGGTGGGCTTGTGAACTCGCATAATTACCTGACTAACGGCGCGTGAAACGCTGAGACTTCAATAGTTTTTCATGTCCTCGAGATAGAGAGGAGAAAACGCGGTTCTCTAATAGTCAGACAAAATTAAAATTAAGAGTTTTCAGCTCCACTTTGTGTATATGTGTGTTTGTTTTGTTTATATAACCGAGTTTTAGCGCTAAATAAAAAGACATAAACTATATTGAAATAAAGACTTTTCAACTCTATTTTGTGTATGCGTTTTGTTTATATATCTCAGTTTTAGCGCTAAATAAGATATAGGAACCCATTTCTCGCGTTGCTAGGGGATCGTTTTCTTATTGCTTTTAACAGACGGTCCGAAAACAGGGCTCAAGTTACTTAACGGGCAAACCGAGGCAAACCTATTGTGCCTATTGTAATATTCGCTCATACCGAATTAGTATGGAGGAATACCCTCATTAGTATGGAGGAACGCATTTTTTCTGTAGGTTAAAACAATGGGTGACGTCATGGACTCGACCCTTATGCATATCAATAAAGGGAACACATATGGAACGCAAGGGAGCGCACCAAAGGGGCGTAAAAAAAACTTAGTTTACTACTAGATCAAGAAACAAAAACTGCCAAGTTACCCTAAAGGAGTCGCATCAATGATTGAGACTGTTTTTGAGTTTAAGCTGTGGTTTCTCGTCATGGAACATTAAACCCTTTGAAATTTACGGCCTTTTTCAGTTTCATATTGTCCGTGTGACCACGTTTTCGGTGCAAATGGTTACTTATTTTTACCTAAAACGTAATGATTCATGTACGTTTATGTACTTGTCTCCCCAGTTGTCTCTCTCAATTGAGCGCTATTTAATCACTAGGTAGCCCCCGGCAGGCACCGATTTTTGATTGAGATAAACTTTCAGCTAACTCGAACTTCCACTTAGAAGTTCTACAGACATTAACTTGCGTTCCTAAGAGTTTCCGAATTGACCAGATTTGTACCACACTAGTTATTACTTGTTGTGACTGGTAGGGGACCAATCATAAATGGTAAAACTCGATTTTTCGACTCGATTAGTCGAAAAAGTGAGTAGAATGATGTGTGTGGTAAAATAGGTCTTAAAGGCCAGTCTTATAGAAAAGTACAGGACAAAACCAACAAGGAGGCCCATTTTTACCATGCATGAATTGAGAACTAACGTTGTAAAGCATAATGAAAAACAATTGAGAGGTGAATCTGTCTCGGAAGGTTTTTAAACCGTAGATGTGGCTTTTTCATCCTACAAGAACGGACCACTTGATCTAGAGTAGTAAAACATAACAGCACAGAAAATTAAAGCTATAGTCTACAGTACTGGACAAAATAGACGGAAAATCAAGACCTCCTTTCCCTAAATCCTTTCTTTCAGTAATGTACAAAAAATTCTTCTATAAATTGCTGCGGATGTTGTCGCTCCTCACAACGGGCATCTTTAAATATGTAAACCAGTTGAAGAGAATTTTCATGTATTTTCTTAGTAAGGCTGATAGTTTTAACCTTGTATGAATTAAGATGACACTCATTTATTCATTCATTAAGATTGACGTTAGTCTTTAAACAATGGAACATTTATTAAACTAAATTTTGCTAACCATTTTTTTGGAAATATAACTATTCACTTGCCAGTCATAACTGATTTACCATTTCTCTTAACAGGTTTGTCCACAGAGCGTCAGAGCCTCCCACTTCAGAAAGTTTCTCAACAAAGTGAGAGCTCACGTGAGCGACATCCAGGTATCTTCCTTACTTCCAATAACTACTTATCGTAACTGGCATAAGGATACTGAAAACAAAGAATATTTTCTCTGTTACTATAATTGTTTTGGGGGATTCAGGATGGACCTTTTTGCAGCATACTTGTATAGCCGTCGCATTAAACCATGAGTCGTCGTCCTTCGTTTCTTCGTTTCGGCCGCAAAGGTAAATTTCTGCAAGTTAACGCTAAAAAGTAAGAGAGATTGAGCGCTCGTTCCTCGCTGGCTTCTCCGCTCGCCCCTTGCGCGTGCTCTCGATCAACGTTTACTCAAAAGAAAAATAAGAGACTGCTCGTAGTCTACCGCTGCATTGGCCGGCTTGGGTTTTATATTGCTTTTAAGCTTAAAAGCGATTTTAAGTGGTTTTAAAGCCTTAAGAAGAAGTGATGGAAATTTATGTTGTTTTGTTCCTATAATCATGTGATTTCCCGAAAAAAAATTTTGTATGTTCGCGGGCCTTCAAGACGGTTTTTGGGAGATAATTTATAAAATCAATGAAATAACTAAATAACGGAATGAGGCAAAATAATAATATAAGCCATTTTTCCGCTTACCACAGAATTTACCAAATTGTTACAGATAGACACCTCGAGTTTGTTTACATCGAAAACGATTTCTTACATTGCGTCTAAAAAGCGAATATTTCTTTCTTTTTAAGGTACTGTTCAAGTGTTAATCGAATTAGAAGGTGCTACCTATAAAACAGAACAGAGTGCGGATCTGAAAGGATTAATGAAGGAGATGGCGAATCAATTTTTTGACACCATGGCAGATAACATTCCAACTGAGTCAATCCCTATGGGCGTCCGCTGTTATTTGGAAGGAGTGCTTCAGGTTAAAGTTAAGGATGCAGTTGAGGGTAGTTTAAGAATAACAGTGGAGTGTCACAGTCTTGAAATCCTTGAAGAGCTTTGGAAGGACTATTGCTCTGGTAATCTGAATGAGGTTGCTGAAAAATACCTTTTGACAGACGACATAAAGAGGAGACTTCATGTAGAGTCTATTACGTTAAAGACAATAATTTTGGAAGAGGATTACTTGGTTTGCAAGGAGTGTTTGAAAGGTAATTAATTGCGTATGTACAGAAGCATATAACCCCGAAGCGTATAATTTTGTCGCAATGTTCGGGTTTTTTAGGGAACCAATCAAAATTTACTTCCTAAAATGGAATTACTGATAAGTGAGATTGTCGCGCGAGTGCTCTGTAGGAAAACTTGTATCACGATGTAAATGATGCGGTGCAAAAAGCATTTACTGTTTTACGACTTAATATTTGACAAAAAACGGAATACAGTATTAATCCCCAAATGACCAAGACTGAGTTAGTTCTTTCTAACGAGACAAAGTCGACTACCAATTACATGCACCGTAATAAAAGAGAAGCGATTTCTTAAAGTTGTTACTTCAAAAACGGTTTTTGCCTTACCATTAGCGCAAAATAACCTTTAAAAAATCACTTACTATCTATCTAGAATAAAAAGTAACACATATTTTCCAAAAAAAATTCACTAGTTGCTGAAATGGAAAGTATAAATTGTATAAAATTCCCTGACATCTTCGCAAAAGTGATGTGTGTAATGAGACACTGAGTAAGAAGGATGAAACGCAAGTTAATATTAAAGACTTAGATGCGGCGATCATATTTTTTTTAACTAATATTATGAATGAACCAACAGAAAACAATAAACAGACAACTTGTTTCTTGAAAATTTCTATTCGAAAACCCATAAGTTTACCGTTAAAAGTAATTCACGTAACACTGACTGGATCGTCAGGATCTGTTCCCACAAGTAAAATCGGCTGAGCACATCGCAAGATTAACACTAAAATTAAGCTTATCTGTCTCAGATCGGGCACATTTCCCAATTTTTCTTTAGAAACTCTATCAAAAATATATAAAACGTCTATGAAACATTTATAAATACATAAATTTTCTTTCAATATCGTGCTTTCCTTGAGCATAATGTGTAAAATGTAAGTTTACCTGAAAATTCCGTAAAACGTAAAAACCTTTTACATGTCACACGTCTAATCAAAACTGCCATAGATGTGTTCGCGTACTGTTCTTAATGAATTAAAAAATCTACACTCACAAAAAAAAAAGATTCCGTTTGGACTTCGTCGGCGCTTTGTACAACGTTTCTGCAAAGCTTGCCATATCATTTTGTTTTGTCAGTCAGAGACGCGGCAAACGCATTTTGCTGATTTCGGCGAGAGGCTTTGTGAAATCGTGAAGAAATGTAAACATCCTTGTCTTATTTCGTCGCTGGTCGATGTTTTCGAGCCATACCGCTGATAACTTTGTGGGTCTTTATGTTTTACTAGGGTTGCATTTTATAGCAGCATAATTACTTTATCCACTGCGTGAAAATGAAAATATTCGGAGATGTTCGAGTTTAGAATACGTGATCATGACTCCCTAGAATCCTGAGGTATTCAAGGCGCACACCTCACGTGAAGTATGCTGAAATATTCAGCTCGAAAACACCCGAATATCCTTTGTTGAGTGTCATTCGTAGATTTCCCAAAACGCATACTTCAACAAATTTCATCGGCCAGTTATTGATGGTAACAATTTGTCCGTTATGATGAAAAAGATTGAAAACTTGAAAGATTGAAAACCGTTTTTAATATTACTTGATGTGGGTGGTTTCAAGAGTCTTGAAACGGTCCTTTATTTATTTCTGGGGAGAAATCATCTTCCTAGGGTTTTTAAAAGTTTCTTGAGTGTTCATATTAAATTGCAAGAAGTTTAACATGGCACACAGAGATCGGCAAATATGTTAAATATTTGCATTTAAAATT